ATGCGAGAGAATACGAAAACATAGCTAAGGACTGTGATCGCGTTCCGGGACTCATCTTCTGACGGAGCGCCCAAACTAACCGGACATGACTAAGCCTTCGCCATCCTAGTACGAAGAGATCCAGAAGGAAGGGCACATTTGAACTGGTCTCCAACTTGTTTCACTCAACGAGCCATGCGGCCTTCCTTATTGTGAATAATGACATCCCCACTGTCTCTGACTGTTTCACTGACGCTTGGTTTTCTAAGGCCATTGGTGCTGACCAGTTTGAAGTGCTTATGATAATTGGTTACTCTTCACGCTTCCTCCACTTTTTAAACCATTCTAGTCCATGAGGCTTCCTTGTCAGCACCCAGACTTCGCTTTAGTCTGCACCTAATAATCCGTCTATTACAAGAAATCGCCTTACCTATCCCACTTTTATTTGAATTGCGTGCGTTCCGTTTCGCCTCAGCCCGCCTACCAAATACAAACTACTACTCGCGTGATAAAGGAGCCCATTGACCCACAGCTGAACATAATACTTAGGCAGCAAAAGGGTATAAGCATGAAGCTATATATGCTGATATTTCTAACCTGAGACCAGACAAGCAATCTAGTTCCACCTACTCCGGCGGCTCCCATCTGACCCAGGCGATATTGCACGAGAATAATCGTGTGGATCAAACTATACCGCCACACCGGAACACACCCACTAGCGCCGAAGTTGTGGATACATAAGCGGCCGTTGCAGTTGCCCATGAAACAGGAGCCAATTTGATAGTTACACATGACACGAACATACAGGGCACCATAGGCTCTACTTAATACATTATCAGATCCCCTTCACTCACAAACGGGTTACTTATTTAAGAGCTCACTAGTCGATGAAGATCGTATGTTCCAGTGTTTCTGAATCCAGCGCAAACTCCATGAAAGATGAGTTACTGGATGACTGCGAACAGTTGCATTTAATTTGTCTACTAATTGGCATGCAACCTAAATCGGCAAGCATGGGGCGCACTGTATGGAACTACTGGAAATCAGAGCTATTACGGTCGACGCGACAGTCAGCAATATATGTTGACAGCCAGTTCCTTTCGGACTGACTCATGCAGTGTTTGAAATTCCTCCGAAGTCTCTTGGAGCGAGCGTCAACAAAGAAAGCAGAAACCAAATGACCATAAGTAAATGGAAAGCGAAAAAATCGATCATTATACATGGCATCCCGGGGCTTCAAGCCTCCGGGGAATGTGAAGCTCCAGTTTATGATTAGGAGGAATGCTGCTCTCATTCGACAACGTGATCACCAACTCGATCACAAGATTATCCTTATCATCAATGCAGAGAGTGTGGCCCTAAGGCGATGAAAGTTTGGCTGCAGTCCAGACGCATGGCGGAGAACGCACTTGAAACGCATTGCAAGTGGCGCAAGAAGTTCCTCTCAGAAATATGCCTAAAGACGTTTGATACCAGACCCTAGTTGACTAAGAGAAAGCAAAGTAATCTGCGTGTAACAGTAACTCCAGTACATCCTCCTTCCGAAACGAACTACCGCGGTAACAACAAACCGTTGAAGGAGCAGCAAATTTCCACAATACTACTTCCAGTGAAGGTTCTACCTGCCAATATGAAGTGACTCAAAGTAAGGTATCAGCAGTCCCAAAAAACGATCAGTTATAACAAGGCTTTCATCCCAATAGTTCACAAGCTACATAGCAGAGCCTAGCCCGGAAAAGCGCCAGACGCGTTTCGCCCTGTTGAGGCTCGTCAGTGACGCGCGTTCCCTAGGTCCTCTAAGGAGGATCGGACTCATGACCGCTAGAGGCAGATGCCAACTAGCCAGCCTGCCACTAGTGAGTAATATAAATTAGAAATCGCCTCTCCTAGTTTCAAATGCTATGGATATAGCGTCTAGTGAGAGGACGTCATCACCTCGCAGGCTAACCACTGTCAGTGACAGTAGAAGATAGATGGTGCTATATTCCAGTTAGTTTGCAAATTATGTAGCCCAGCCAACGTCCCCCATATCTCAGTGGCTTAAGCTGCTGGCTAGTTGCCATCTGCTTCTAGCGGTCGTGGGTTCGATCCTCCTTAGATGACCGAGGGAATGCGCGCCACTGACGAGCCCCAATAGGCCGAAACGCGTCCGGCGCTTTTCCGGACTAGGCTCTCCTAGTAGCTTGTGAACTATTGGGATGAATGCCTAATCATAATTATAACTAAAATCCTGCTACTCGTGAGTAGTATAAAACGGTTAGTTGCCGATCTTCCAAAGATCGACGTGAGCTCGCACCAGACATTGGCACCCACAGATTGACTTCTGACCTTCAAAGCACTCTCCTGTATGCATACCAATGCACAGAGCCTCTTCAGCAAATTATCTGAACCGCAGTCTTGTCAAGCTTTTTTGTCTTCAGACTAGATAACTAAGACTTGGCAGCATGATGTTATCGCTGAAGCGGAGATCGCTCTACAAGCTTGTCCGCCATACATAGCGACATAATTGTCGCTATGTGGAGTAATTTTGTAAAATCACAGTGACCTAAATCTCAGTAGATGACGACCCAGGGGTTCAACTTGTGCACTCCCTTTTTGCCTCCTGTAAGTGGGACGCGGAGACATGTTTAAGTTATCTTGGTCATCCTTCGATGTCCTCTCTAGAACTGAATAGCCGCCTGTATTCTACTTGTAAAACCGTTGTGGCTCAGTCTAACACTCGCGTCCAACTTCTTTGAGGCTTCAACTTGCGCATACTAAAATTGCCGGCGTTTTCCAACGGAGCGATTAAAGTTAACCTACGAAACTAGTTGCTGTTCCAGCATTTCATAATCGCGTCATCTCTACCAAGAAATGCAGAAAGGGGAACAAACCGGCCATTTGGACCTCTTGTTAACCAATAAGGAACTTTAATGGACCCAGTAACAATGAGCAGCCCTTTGAGTCGCTATGTCTGTTACGCGGAACACGTCACGTGGAACATCGAGGTGGTCCGTATTGTAACACATAACGACATTTCATCCGACCTCAGTAATGTCAATGATTGATCAACTATAGCAAAGCAATCCCCGATGTCGCTAGGGAGGAATTCATAATTCAAACTGGCACTTCAGTAACAAACTCATCAAAGACTAAGATCCTTAGTCCAACAAAGCCCAAATCCTTCCCGAGGAGTAGGACGCGGAAACGTGAAACTTTAAGAGATGGACTTCGGCAAGCACACAAAGCGAATCCAAGCACCGAGAATTGGAATCCTTAAGTTACCGAGCAAAATCCCTGTGTCAAACCGGTCCGCGAAGACAAATTGAAATACCCACAGTATTTATCGATTAAGTTCCGCTGCAATGCGGAGCTGGTTTACAAGCATGTTAGTAAGCGTAAAAAAGTACGACGTGGCATCCCTCCTCTAACCACTGTCTATAGGTAGTCGCGAACTGCCCAAATTGCGGCTAATGCGTTTAGAAACTATTCCCCTTATACTTTCCAGAACGCGTCGCTGTCCCATTTCATTCTTAGTCAGAGCACGTCACGACTAAAACTTGGTCGTATAGCTTTCACTGCCGCGGATGTGCTGAAGCGGCTTTTGTCACTACACGAGTACAGTTCCGTTGGTCCGGACAAAATAGGCTCCAATTCATTGAATGTGGTTTTCATGAGTTTTGCTGAACCGTTAGCTTCGTTTTTGCAACGCACCTTCCAACTACATGGAATCGTGGAACAGTCACCCCCATTTACAAAGGAGTTAAGCATTTTGGGCCTGCAACTTATCGCCTGATTGCCCTTCTTCCGGTGGGTGCTTACGGAATTTATCGCTGCAGAATCACTCATATGATATCTAGGAGGAAAAGATATCATCATGCCGGAGCAGCGCAGGTTCCACCAAAACCGTTCTTTCACCTCGAACCTTTTATTAGTCATTGTCAGTTGGACGGAATCCATTGAGGTTGGGAAAGCAGTTTATGCTGCCTACCTTGATTTCTTGTGAGCTTGTGATCGTCTTGATCACGACATTCTCTTTTACATTCATTGGAGCTGTGGGACCAGTGCCTCGATCGTGGGTAGCATACATTCATTCCTAATTCAACGCCGCTTGAATATGTTAGTTCGCAGCACTTTATCTGACCCGAGAGAAGTTGATCAGGACGTCTCTCAAGGATCTATCTGCACTAGAACCACGGCTATTCCTATTCTTCCTAAAGGACCTCGCGTGAGTGCTCACCTCTAGCTTTTTACTATTTGCGGACGATCTCATGGTCATTGTCTTCTTCTCTCTCATAGGTCGCAACTTGTCATGCGGTCTCAGTGTTATCTCGACGCAGTGAGGAATAATCTTTGCCGATTAAGACACTCGTGTTGTGTAGATCTGAATTTGATTACTCTTTTGTCCGCACCGGACACAGTCCACAAAAGCCGAATCGTTGTTCCGACTAATGACGCAGTATCCAAGCAAGGGTGATACAACAAGTCTTTCAGTAGAATTTTAGAAGTGAACACAACGAACTTAGAACTCCATTTAGTTGATAGAATACAGAATCCCTCTCTTTACCCAGCGGACAGCTTTTAACGTGCTGTTATTTGGCAGCACGCCTATCAGAATCTTGTTCCAATTTGATCATTTGGCTCGAAGGTTGGTTGAGTAAATCTGTTGCAGTCGAAATACCCCATTGTCTTTAAATACGACTACATATTTCCCTAAGGATGGTTTTAGTAATCTCCCACTCTCATTCACTAGGCTGAACCGCCTACTGTTATTTCTCTCAAGCACTGGGTCACAATCACTTCATTGAGATTTAATTATACCAATGATGTTCAGTTGCTGCACATGGCTATAACAAGTCGATTTTGATCCAGATTGTTTGCACGATATACCCTTAGTATCTATGTCAGACGGACAAATTTTGTGGAAATCGTGTTGCAACTGCATAATGGCACAAGTAAAGAATTCTTCGTTTTGTTGATATCCCGCGTCCACATGTCTGGTGAAAGAAGAGTGTGGGCAGTGAAAACAACACATTGCTTACCTACGTTACTCAAGAACATGGGTTCCTTTTTGCGACAAACGGACTTGATGCGCAATTTGCTATCAAACTCTCCGGTCGACCCCAGTTCAGTGTTAAAGTCCGTAATTCGAATGTAGCAATCCGTGCGGTTATCGTGCGTGATCGCAAACGCTGAGTTGTCAAAATTTCTTTTGCGACTCATGATACCGTGCGGGTGTGAAAACTCGGACAGTAAAGGGATCAGGTTTCTGGAATCGTCCTTTGATCCCCACTGTTTCAATCGCATCTCCCAATCAGTCGGCATGGTTTTGTAGGAAGAAGCATACTGTCCCTCCTGTGTACATGTTGCCGAGTTCCAGAAATTGGAACCAAAGGTTGCGGTTCCGCGTAAATCCATCTGATAAAGAGCACACTTCGGTGGCACACGGTCATGGGCTGCTTAATGATGAGAATTAAAGAGTTTGGCAACTGTGGTGTAGGAAATCAATGTGAGCAATAAAAAACGTGTATTGGCATTACAAATTAGTGTGGGTGAAAGTATGAAGTAAGTCATCCACTGCCTTAAATCTCAAACGGTTACTAGCTAGGGTGGTCATCTTTTGGTCACTGTGCCTTGCAGTGCGTTGCATGGCTCTACCAAGTGCACCAGCATGGGACGATTTGACCAGAGCAATTCGAAATCTGCGGTAAGCAAACGGGGTCACATGCACCGTTCCGTCGAGCATTTTAATTATGCATTTGAGGTTGCCGAATTTTCGGAACAACCAGAGCAAATATTACGGTGGCGAAAATTGGCCACTAAAAGTGCGCCTGTGTGTATGTGTCGGCGCGATACTCTGCGCGATTCTAGAGCTATCAGTTTTTGGAGCGGCTAAACTCCTCACTGAGTTCAATAAAGAACCTTCGATAAGTTTATGCTTCTTATATACAAAGTGTATGGCTTACCTGTTATCGAGTACTATTTGACCGTGCGCACAAACACGCGAAAGTCTGATAAAGCGGCTCTTGAGTGAATTCAGCGGCGGTCTATCAAAAGGTGTTTAGAAACTCTGCAACAGCGAGTGATGCAATAACCTTAAACTTGATTCCATCTGGCTCGGTATAGTGATGCTCAATTGACGCTTCCTATTCCGAACCACACACATCATTACCTTCACAATGAGGTGAAAGTGTGTACTTCACAAAATGACCGTTACCCACTAAGTGATAACACATTTGATGGAATACTCAAAACTCTGGAACAAGTTACGGAGGAATGTATGGGAGCACTGCAACATATAGGGTTTAACGTAACCACAAATAATAGAGGGAGTTGAATGGTATAGGTAGAAATTCATCACATCTAGACTCACTCAGGCAGCCAATCACGCCCGTAAAAGAACTGTATGGCCGTCTCATCCTTTCGGGAATCGTCAGCAGTGCGCATTCGAACTAACCCTGGTAGGGCTCGGTAAGTTCGTCGCTTGGTGAGGGGGCTACCCTGTCCTCTGCATAGGTGTAACATGCGAGTCACTGGATAGCTGCGCTATATCACAAATAGTAACCTATTCAGGATGATCTTAGCTGTCTCCGTAGCTCAGTGGTCTCAACCACGGACTGACAACAGTCGAACTGCTGGTTCGGGCCCTACCAGTATCAGATGCAATGCGCACTGCTGACGATTCTCGAAAGAAGGAAATGGTAGTACAGTGCTTTTCCGGCGTGTGACGGCTGTCTGATTGAGTCTATATATGATGAACCCCTACCTGTAACGAAAAGAATATGTCTCATAGTATGAAATGCAATCATTATGGCCAGAGTAGCATGAACCTGAGTAGAAGCCTCTCACGATGGTGTTGGAAGCTTAGAACGACAGGGTTTGGTATTCGTTTCGTATTACTGACATAGGGCGAAAGAAGACATTTGGGTTGCTCCTATGGAGCATGACATTCTTACCTAGGACTCTCATATCAACATGGAGTTGAAAACGTAACACTCTAGTACTAGTCTCGAATTTTCACCCAACTGTTACTTACTCTGTTTATTCAGTAGTGTTTACTTGAGGACTTTATCGTTCACATAGAAGTTGGAAAGAAAAAGCCAACCGATTTCCTGTCGAATCATTGCTGCCAGTTCCTTCTCTGCTATACCTGCTCAGAGACTTTTATGTCCACATGAAAGTTGGAAAGAAAAAGCCGACCGGTCTTCATATTCCTTATCCTCTTCGCTGTTAATTTCTGCCCTTACTCGACCATGCTGATCTGCAGACTTTCATGTCCCCATGGAGAATGAAAAGCAGAAACTAACCGATTTTCATTTGTAACTTCTGCCTCACTATTACTTTCAGTTCAACTGTAATTAGTTGGAGGCAACTAGTCAAATTGGAAGCTTGAACGTAGAGAATGATCAATTCTGCACCTCATTCCTGGCGCCCCAGCCCCGTTATGCTCACACTCATTCGATTATACAAAGTGAAGGTGTAAGATGCTTCTGTAGGTGGACCTCGCGTCTTTATTGCGAGACTGAGGCGGAGGTATGCTTAGTTATTCTTGAAAACCTCCAAAAAAGCTGACTGAGCTAGCGCACTAAAGTCTATACTCATGTTTGCTGTCGACATATTGACGTACTCATTCTACACAACGTTTTCTTTCCAATAAAGGGGAACCAATTGGAATCTGAGACGATCTGGGTAATACCTTTCGGCGACCGAACCTACGCATGTGTTGCGCTTCAGCGGCTGAATATAAAAAGCATCAGCAAACAAGCTGAATACAACCGTATACTCCATGAAATATGCCACGGATGACCTCTGTGGTAGCAACAAACAAAGCAGAGCACTTGAAATTCCATAGAAATCGATTGAGCCTATTACTACAGGACCCACTAGAAATGACAGTATACTTTTATTGTTCCCACACCGTACCCGTCAACGTCTGCTTTCTACCACCCACTCATTTCTACGCGAAAGCATGAATCATCTGTAACGTTCTGGATCCAGCCGCGCTTGAAAACAGCTTCTTGATAATTACCGTAATTATTCATTTACTGGTGACAACTGCTTTTTCATGCCAGTATCCTGGTTTCACAGACATGAATGAATTCAGTAGTAAACACAAGAGAGGAAGTGGTAGGCAAGCAGCTCATTGTACCATAATTTTCGGTGGCACTTACAAACAAGAGGGACTTCCCTCACCAGTGTTTTCCATTTGTCGGTTTGAAAAATATGCGAATGTAGGAGCTGGTTTTGCCGAGGTTCACATAGTTCATTCACGGACGCACTGAGTCTTCTGCTCTGGGCTGTGATAAATGAATTGCAAGCGCGTAACATTGATATTTTATTTCAGAATGCTAAGCTAAAGAATGTCGCAACTTCATTGTATACATGCTGACGAAGATAGTGCAGTACCTAGGGTAACGCTCCACCTGCAATTCCTCCCTTACATGGATCAGTGTGTCAATGGTTTTGACGAGTCCTATAGGATGCTAGGTGTGAAAATCAAAAGATGGCAACTTAGTGTCAATAAAACAACCCGCCTGTTGCTGGACTTACCAAGAAGCTTGCATTAACACTGAAGATAAGTTGATCAAGTTAAAGCCGTCAGGTATATGGTTGTGTGATCCCTATCGAGAAATGCTTCGCGTCATGTGGGGAGGTGCTTATATGCGCTCAGCAGTCAACTAAATTGTATACTGTATGTGGGAGCAAGTAGAAATTTAAATCTGTACAACTGCTTAAAGCTGTACAACAAGCAAAAGAAACTGTATGAATCTGTATGCTTTCAGTGACTGGATAGCGGGATGAGTTAACGTGGAGTGTTATCTTTAGTGGCGGTGTTGATCCCATGGGTATTTGTGTGGTTATAGCCTGCACATAAACTCCGATTGTACTATAGTACTACGCTCATCAGACATGCGCGAATGTAAGGTTCTCATTCCACCGAAAGCTTTGTAAAACACACTGAAATCAAGTGGCGCTCACGATAGTTGGTGATCACTAGAACAATGGAACAATAGAACAATGGTTTATTACGGGTAAAAAAGCGTTGCTTAACAAGTCCCGTAGGATGGAAAATTATTGTGAAAATCAATTGCATGATAAAGGGAAAAGCGTTGTGGTGGACTCACCATAGACTTATGCGGAATAGCGGAGAAGTTCGCGTATGAAACATATAAATCTATAAATCCATTGGTTAGGCGTTTGGCAAGAAACCGTTTGATTGCGTTTTGTAGCTCCTGGCTAACAAGTCATAAAATGAAATGTAAGTGAGACAATGCATCGTCAACACGTTTTTTAAATATTGCCAGATTGGGAGCAGAGACGACATAATTAGGGAGGGCGTTCCAAGGCTGGCACACGCGGAGAGAAAAGAAATTTTTGCGGCATTCAAGCCGACTATACTGAATTGTCAGTTTCAGAGGGTGACCTCTTAGTTTAGTGTTTTGGTTCAATTCCAGAAGCGGACGGCAAATGTGGTTTGGGTTCTTCAGAATCTGGTAAACCATTATGAGATCCCCCCGCAAAAGCCGATATCGACTGCTGTACATTCTTAGAGATTTCAGTCTAAGCTGATAGGGCAGATGAAAGAGGCCCCTGACATTCTTGGTTGCCCGTCGTTGAGGAGTCTCGAGAGCAACGAGATCCTGTTTCTGCCACGGCTGCCACGCCTGAATAGCATATTCCAAGTGAGGTCGCACGTAGGCGTTAAGCATTTGGGGAAAGATTGAGGGTTCAAATCGACCGAAGGCTCTGCGAAGAAGGCCGAAGTGTCGGTTTCCGGTTCTCGTCGCCTTCTCTGCTTGTTTTGAACACCCGAGATCTTCCTGCACCAATACACCCAGGTCACACTCCTGAGAAACCTTCGCCAAGGTGTGGTCTCCAATCTTGTAAGCGCTCACCGGCTGGTGACGCAGATGCATCACTTTGCACTTAGCTATGTTCAATTGAAGCTTGTTCCTCTTTGACTATTCGTAAATGCGATCTAAGTCATGTTGGAGCAGATCCTGATCGGACTTGTTACCAATCGCCCGCCATATCTTGACATCATCGGCGAAAAGCAGGAAATTTGAGGAGATGACCCTTGCCAGGTCGTTGATAAACACAAGGAATAAACGCGGTCCCAGCACTGAGCCTTGCGGGACACCACATTCCACCTCAATTGGGTTAGAGAGTGATCCCCTAACACGTACTTGAAGCTTTCGTTGGTAAAGGAAGTTGCCAATCCAACCAAGTACAGGATCACCGATTCCGTAACTCTGTAGTCTTTGAAGTAGGATGCGGTGATCAAGGCGGTCGAAAGCTTTGGAGAAGTCTAGATAGATGACGTCGACTCCGACCCCATCATCGGCCACTTCCGTCCAACTACCTCGTGCAATAAGTAGGTTGATAGTGCATGACCGGTGTTGACGGAAGCCATGCTGTTCCGGTACCAAGATGTTGCATTTTTCTAGGTAGTCCATTAAAGTGTCAGCGACGACTGCTTCCATCGCCTTCGCGAGCACAGGGAGGAGAGTCACTGGACGATAGTTAGCAGGATCGGAACGGCTACCGCCTTTAAAAATAGGTGTGATAATGCCACACTTCCACATAGTGGGGACTTGTTATTCATCAAAGCACCTTTGGAAGTACTGTGACAGTGGTTCAGCTAGCTTGGTGGCCACAGCCTTCAGTGCCTTCGGGCGGATGTTGTCTGCTCCCGGCGAACTATGCTCACGCAGTGAGAGTAACTTCCTTAGCACAATTGATGGGTTGAAAATAACATTTGTAAACAAAGGTGTCGGTAATGTGCTTGATATTATGGGATAGGTAGATGTTGCGAGTTCGAAGATTGGGGCGTATTGAAGCCGCAGGGCATTAGCTGCTTCTTCGGCGCTTTGTACTCTACGGCCTGTCGTGAATAGTGGGGGGATTCCATGCTTCACTTTACTAAGCATATTGACATGCTTATACAGCAGTTTGTTGTTTGCCATGAATTTTTTGGCTAGGCTCTGTTGATAAGTTACTTTGTCCTCACGGACAAGTGCAGTGCAATGGTTGCGATGGGTCAGGAAATTTTCCCAATTCTCTGAGTCGGGGTTAATCTTGTAGGCATGCCATGCTGCATCCCTTATCGCCAGGCATTTTCGAGTCTTACTCCTTATAATTGAACGCATTTTCTCGGGACAAAGGGGTTTGGTCTCTGATGCTCTGTTGACGACGTCGCTGAGTTTATTAACGAACTCTGCCCAAACGTTGTCAAGGGAACTTTTGTTGGTACAAACCATTTCTGTTTCCGTTCTCACTCATCAGGATTAATAGACCTCACCTTTCGTGCAGAAACGATGCTGAAGACGTGAATATCGCTGAGTACACAGTTCTGGTATGGATACCATACACCCGAAAACATTGCATGTAGTAGCCTGACAATAAGCCATACGGCTAATCAGGTACTTTAGCGCTATTGAGAAAAGAATACGGCACCGTTCATGTGCTAATGGGGTGTTATCAACCCCATGTATGAGGAATGGACGTGATTTGAGTCTGGCCCAGTAGCGCTTTACTCTGCGCTCGCTAAGCTCAAGGAAAACAAATATGCAGATGCATTATTGGCCCACCTGGGACGCTACGATATCATCACACAGGAACAGCATAGCTTTCGTCCCAATCGATGATGTGCCACAACATCGAAGGCCAGGCGGATCTACGGTGCCCTAACCCGCATGTACCAATATTCCTGAGTTCGAGGCAAACTCTTGAAGAGGTAAACAGTTGGACTATCTGAACCAGTAGAATTTCGTTTGTGATTGGATCGGTGTACGCGTGGGGCCAACTGACATTGCGCGCATCATTGCACATCCCACTGCGATACACTGTGTTAAGTCTTGACTTATTGGGGTAACACTTGGATTCACAGCTGATATTGTGGTAGTGCTTTTATCGGCCTAGTGACTTTGACCGCTGTAACCCTTTCTCATTGAACTGCAAATCGATTAGCCGCTGTATGCAGCTTACCCATGATCATTCTAAAATGCCCATGTTAGGATAATTCACCCCGCCTGAAGAGGCGTTTGTGTCAAAAGCTACAACGTTGTGTGTCATCATAAATATTAACCGGTCGTCTACCGAGCCTTCTGAAATGATAACTTCCCGATCGGTTTAAAGTATGTTCCAAGATATCGAATACCACCTTTGCCTCAATCCAACAAACTCACTCGTGCGACTCCAAATATTAACCAATCAGCGTAAAGCGCAGATGTCTGGACGTCTTATCATCAGCCTTGTTCTCTTACAGCAGTCGGGCCGCTTGCCCCGTCACCAAAATCCGAGTGTCTCTCTGATTGCATATTCCTAGTACATCCTCCCGTTTTTCGTGATCAGCAGCATCAATGTCACGGAAGTCGCCGTTCGCCCTTCAGCTGCTCGTGGTCTGTGTTGCCAGTGTGGTTATAACTGCTAGCCGTTACGTGCCTTGCCTCAGGTTAAGTTTCCCTTTCCCGGTGTCTTCTCAAGCACACTCGGTTCTTTCTGGTTATCTCCTCCTCAGTATTGACTTTACTAGCTCGTTATCCGAAGTTCCTGGTAAGTACACCTCTCTTCCATTGTTCGCTGACACCCGATACTGACTAAATCCACATTTCCTCGTTCACTAATATCTCGAATAGCGCTCATGCACCGCGGTCGTAATGTCGTTGGTGATCTGTCGATCCCTTTCCTTAACTTTTAGCATTTACTCTTGCGAAGGCTAAACCGGACATCAAAGGACAATCGACGCAGACATTAGGGTTCTTGTCCATCTGTTGTCTGGACGTTGCACTGGACTGAGTCCTCTGTTCCATGACGGCGTGTTGCGAATCGCCAACATTATCAAATACGAGTGTTCATGAGTGGATCAAGCCTAAGACAACAGCCTGTTGGTTTGTTTGACTGTTGCATATGATCTTCCGTCAGATTGGCTGTGATACGGACTGGTTTGTAGACGCGAAAATTCCCACTTTTTTCAAAGGTCTGGAACGCAGTACTTGTAAACTACGGAGCATTATTGGAGACCAGTTCCACCTAATATACCGTGTCGAACGAACCGACAGCAAACCCAATGGAAGACTGCTTCCGTGGTCGTAGTGTAAGTAGATCGATCTCGAAGTAGTCGCTGTAGTAGTTCACTGTGCTCAGATAGTCTTTCCCGTTGTCACAGAGTAGGTGCACTGCTAACACCCGCGTGGTACATACGGAACCTCACACAACATCATTGGTTCCATGGCTTAACGAGCTTTGTATGAGCGACAGGCTGAACAGCATGACACTTGATCTCCTATTTTACTCACCATCCCAAGCAAGAACATCAACTTTCGTGCTCTGCTTATGCTGTAGTTAAAACCCAACTAGACGCGATGAGCATGTTCCAGGTTCTCTTGCGGAGGAATAGAGGGATCAAAATACTAATTTCACTGGACAGCAAACTGTCATATAGTGTGTTTATCTTGAAACTTGAAGAATCGCGTTAAGTTCGCTCGGAGTTTGTCCTTTATATGTGCCAATCCTCTCGAAATCATGTCTTGTAACGCCGCGCACTTCGCGTCTGTCTCCGTATAGCACCTTGTTTTCTGCAGACGTTTCATTACCGCCAGTTGTCGTATCGATTTAGTGTCAATCTTTTTTCCTGCTGGCGTTTAACTATCGGAAAACGAACTCTCGACAAAGTGTCCGCGATGAACACTTGCCTTCTCGAGGGGCACACAAGATAAATGCCATAATTTTAGAGCCGGATTTGCATGCCTTAAAGAGGTCGAGGGACACAGTGCAACGGTTTACTGGCTATGGACACGAGCGGTTTCTGGTTAGTATACACCAGGAATGCCCAAAGTCCGGCCGGCGGGCCAAATGCGGCCCGCGTTTACCTTGCAAATGACCGGCGGCCTCCTAATGAAATAATAAATTCATGCTTGGATTTTTTCGCACATGTTTACTTTTTGTTATTATCTTAATGTCAGACTGAATATGGACAGACGTATTTTTACCTCACAAACTGTGGCCCTCCTTGCAAAAAGTTTGGACACCCCTGGTTTACACGACTTTCTTCCTCCCAAAGTTTCGATCGTTGAATCGCACCATCACGTATACTACAGCGAGCATCTTCTTGTTAACCTGTGCACCACGGTGTTCCGCAACTTTGAGCACCCGACTGTGGAAATCCAAGGGTTTACCATCCTGCATAAGACCGGAACCTATTCCGCTCTGACTACTTCCATATTGCTTTTCCAAAGGAAGATTTGGGTAGTAGTAGCCAAGTACTGGTATAAAGCTGATGAGGTGTTTGATGGCCTGTTGCTCTTTCCTAACTCTCTTTTCCAAATTTATGAATCCTTCTCAGGATGGGTAACGAACTGACCTGACCGATGATAAACCAAACGCCTTTTATTATCATCGGCAATTTATCCGGGAACGCGCCAACGATTCCTCTGATTATACCCAAACTAATATAACTACTAGGTCTGGCCATCGGGATCACTGGCGTACACGCGTTTACGAACATTAATTTGGCATTTTACTCTTAAAATTCTTTCTAGGTATATCGCCCCACTACATTTTGAGAACCGCAAAAAGACACGCAAAACATTTTGAAGCCTCAGGAAATCTTTATATTCCCGATTTTGCATTTCACTGTTTGGTCTGTACGGTTAGCGGCAACCTCGATTTCCCATACTATCTGGTCTTTGCCTATCATCGTCCACAGCTATTGTTCTGTTTCATACCGGAAGCCTTCTGTCCGTGTGAGTTGGAACAAACACGTTGAATGCGGAGTGTTGCCGAACTCCGTGTTCCCTCCTACCATATTTCGTTTTGACACCGCTAAACATGACACTGGGGAGGCCTGAAGGGTCCGATAGCTTTTGTGCCCTCACAACAGCTGCATCTGGTTCACCTGGTCTCGCAGAAAGCTGGCAGTCAACGGACAGTACTAACGCAGGATGAAGGGTCACCCACGGTTTTCCTTCTAGGAGACGGCTGTGTAGAGACCGCGCTATTCCCCCGTTCACTTAAGTTATGACGGCAACGTTCTTATAAGTTATTTAGTTTTAGCATATACTCAGGGATCATGAGGCATCCGTCTGCGTTTGCTTGGATGAGGTTGTTTGAATATCCCGGCATGCATTTGCGCCGTCCAGGAGTTCGAATCGCATTCTTCTTTCCTTGAGCTGTTACCGATTCGAATAGGATCCTATAGCTAGTTTGGCGTATCAGTGTCGTCCATACCTTGGCTTAGACATAATGTACATAAGCTATCTGAATACTTTCTTTGTTCTTATCACTTACCATCGCTGGTTTTGTTTAACCGGCAGACTTGTGATGACTGGTTGCTTTTCGCGTTCCGTTATAGAGGTAGCTGTCGTCCTCGTCACTACAATCCAGCAGCTTACGTCGTCACGTGATTCTGTTTTCTCCCTTTGATTGCAGACTCCCGTCACAAACCAGCTAATAAAAAAGTTCCAACTGTCGTCAATCCCTGTGGGCATTCAGTGTATGTACCGCTGTTAATACCGGTGCGAACTTACCTTTAGCTGGCAGATTTTCCATATTTTGCGATATTCATGCTGACTGTGCTACCGGACCGGTTGACTTTTGGACTTCCTTGCTTATATTTAACTATGGGTCCGTTGCTATTTGCGAGCCAAAGTTGGATGGAAGAAGCAGACGAGGGGTCCGGAACGGACAACATGTAAATGCTTATTTCAGAAGCGTTCACCCGCATGGATCGTTGTATACTGATCGGTATGCACGTTCAGGACGACATCTATTGTTCCAGACAACTGGAATCTGCTTAGAAAGTTAACTAGCATGTTGGTCATTTGTAAAGCAAGTCGGAAGTTTTACATATTTCGTCTTCGCCTTGATACTCGACGTCTACGTGCCTCCGCAAATCGAATAATTCTTCACGCTTGGTAGCCTTGACTAAAACCGGAACTGAAAGCACTCCAGACCTCACAACATGAAGGATGTCAAGGGTTTGCGCCATGTTCTGTAACTAGAAAGACTGAAGAACTCGGGGTGTTCGGAGGACGCTGCCAGCGGTTACGCGCAGTAGTCATGGTGGAATACAAACTAGTCAGAGTTCAACACCACGTATATTGCTAGCTTTAGCAAATCATCACGGGCACTAACCCCAGAGGCAATAGCTCAAAATTATGCTAACAATGACGCAGTCTACAGTAGGGACCAACTTAATTCTTCCTCCTGGACTTCCAACCCAGGAACCCCCCCCCCCCCCCCAAGGTCATGTATCGGTGCGACGACGTTTACCATTCCATGGGACAGTTAGATACTGCCGCGGTTCCTTACAGTTTTTTAAATAAATGGATACTTTGTGATGTATTAAGCAGAGATGGCTTCTTTATAATAATGATTTGCAACGATTAGCCCGAGTCGGTGGAAACGCGTGAGCAATTCGAGTATTCTTTACTTGAGACGTAAGCAACATTGGTTGCTTGCGCTGCCTACTTAGTACTATCAGATTTCGACAGTCTATCATAGCGTTACGCTGCTGTTTTGGTTCGCACATATATGATCTTTTGCACCACTCTGCAGCACTACGTAATGTTTTTTAACCCATTATAAAGAGCTTTTTCTTACTAATGATTGCTGTGTCGGATACAGTCGCCATGTAGAAAGTTCTAGCTCTTGGGGTTAATCACTGTCCTCTGCACTGCTCGGAACTGGAATGGCAATGGACGATGAGCCCGGTTACATCGTAGTCGTCAGTCATGCTAGTCCTCAGCTGTCACCCACTGCTTCGTGGCCCAAGCTGCTGGCACCCGGAAGTCATGGGGTTAGAATCCGGCAAAGACCTGAGGAAGACGCATCATTGACGAGACTTAGATGGTCGGAAAACCTATTTGGTGCTTTTCCAGATGTGTCGGCGCTTGCTGATAGAGAGGGGACTGCGACGAACTACCCCAGAATTTCTCATAGTTTCCTGGAGTTTGTATTGATTATGTATATCACAAAATATTGACTCACAGCGGTGCTTCGTGTTAGGCGTATGGAATCGGATTAATGTTCTAGTCCTGTTAGTACACCAGAGTAGGGAAGGAGTTATAAAGACAAGATGATGACAACTCTGTACGATAAATGGAAACACGATACAAGTTGGCATTTGAAAAGTGTTCATTAATCTCTCGCATTGTGTACAATGTGATGTGCAGCACATGAAAACGGATAGGTCGTGTGACTTACACATCGTAAAAATCAGTGAATTCATGTAGTTTCGTTGCGCGTCAGTCCGAGAGAGTTGATAAAAGCTGACGCAACTATCCCTCGGAGGACTAACAAAAAAAGTAAAGGGCACTGCACTGATAAAATGCTGTCAATATTATACATTGATTTCATATGAAATAGGCTTATATGAGGAAAGTATACCAAGCAATGTTGTTACTACCTAGTATTGTTGGAATAAATTGACGGTAAGTAGCTTGGATTACTAATGTAAGCTACACTAACCAGTACATCCAATGAAGGTTCTATGACCTACTAGAATGCAATACTAGAAATAACAATAAGTTAACTTACCCGACGTGCAAGAGATTGTTTCTGTCATAGGGACAGAGCATTCGTAGGGTTAGCATAAATTTGCTTGCATTGGTGAGATAATCATTTAGCAGTGTCTCTGTTACTAGAACATTCTAGTCTACAGGCTTTTGTTTGCGCTGCGTTTTGTGTAAGAGATATTCCCCACTAGCTACATATTTTTCGATCCAGTCTGGAAGAACTCATTTGGCCATTTTCTGGTGAAAATGCAGCCGTTCTAATGCAGAAAATCCCCAAGTTCAATGCACAATGTCCTTGCATTTTCACAAGACCTGATTGTGGCTGGTAGGCTATTTCACAGGACAGTGTATCAGAAGAGGAGTAAGTTATGGTAAATAATTGTTCTCTCTTCATAAAATTTGTTTGCCAATCTTGTTGTGAAGACCGCGGGGACAGATTGGAGGATGTTTTTTGGTTTCGTAGTTTGGTAATGAGCATCAAGTTACCTCTAAGTAATCACAACAAAAAGACCACGAAGAAAGCTTGCAGACAACCCTGATGAATGCGCAAAGTAGTTGCTTTACTAAACTGGTGAACACTTCTTGTATGATTTCCAGAGAATTTCCATGTTATTCATACAATTTTCTTCATAGAGCATGCTGCATTGCTCAAGGACGGAATGGATAAGCGTTTTGAAAGTCCAGTTTTAGCACGGAATGTATGGATTTTCTGGAATAACGTAGCCATTGCTTGTCTGGCCCACGTTATTTGATATTCGGACTGCTCTGCGCAAAGGGGAAATTAGAAGGATATTATATTCGTAGACCATAATTAGACACTTACAAAACATTGCTCACTATCGAGTTTAACCGACGCTTAGTGGATCGGACATTCATAGGAAATAATACTTGCTTTGTCAGTTGATCACTTTATTAGCCATAAGGAACTTTATTTCCCAAGTGCTTTGATGTATTCTCGTGTCAGCAACATATTGATATCGTTTTCACCCACTCGAAAATTATACAACAAGCTCAACGCTATCGCCAAGTGTAAATGATAATATCGTTATAATAGCGTAAGCAAAGCGATAAACCGTGTACGTTTTCTTGGGTGACAACAACAGTGCTTGTGGACGGTAAGAGAGTGATGGTAGCCGATAGTAATCAACTGGGAGCGCCCAGCCACCCAGAAGCGTTGCTAAATCCGTAGTGGACTAGTGCTCCCAAAAGCGATTAATTCAGTAGTATCTTAGGAGGTACACGCTTGGATGTCGTTTGTATCGCTAAGAGTAGATACATCTGTATACTTGGAGTCAAGGAATTCTGAGATATAACCCTTGTAGTGCAACTGACTAATTGTGCGGGAGTGTTTATTGAGGAATACATGCCAGAGTTTGTTAATCAGACCAAGACAATGGTTAAAGCTCAGCACTCCATATTTAATTAATTTTTCTAACAGTATCACCTTTATGGGAATGTGACGGATGCTAATCACAAATTCAGGAGTTACAAATTTGTGATATTTTTATATTCCTTTTCGTACTCGATAACATTTTAAATAGTTTACTTTGCCTTCAGTGCCTATGTGCACAACCACACGAATTATTAGACCCGAATCAGATATTTGTTTGTTCGCATCACTGCGGTTAACTGAAGCACCGTCCTAGTGGCTCATTATCACGCACTTCACCGTTGACGTGCTGACCGCCGCTAACCGCTGTCGGCCGCCTCTGTCGGTTTCAACCCTGTGCCAAATTCACTGCAGTGCCAGTTCTCCGCTGATCGGGAATACAGACTGCTTGGAAGATTCCGGCTTACTGTTAAGCTACATTAAAGCTACGTCTACAAACTTAGTCTTAAGTCATTTAGATACATATAAATTCCCTTTTATAGAACCAGGTTTACAATTTTCGCTACAGCGAGTTTTGCACTTTTTGTCCTGGGAAGCAAGCTGTGCGTAAGATTAGGCTTATGCAGTGCACGATTTCATCTCAGATCACTAATAATGGATCGGCTGGTGAGTAGCAACTTCTGTTTGGGGTCAAGTTTATGATGAGGGATAATAAAAATCTCCACTGATCCAGAAAATGACCAGATTCCAACGACAAGTTAAGCGTCTTCAACAAAATTAGTGATGCGTCACCTTCCATAATTCGATGGCGGATGGGGAATATCATCCGAATTTAGTTTGAACGATGGTTCGACAGGCTTCCCAGTCAGTTATATATTCAAGAGAAAATAACTGACTGCATAATACGCTTGTATTTGTAAGTACCCGGCAGAAGATTATGGGGTCAGTTTATATTATCACGGAGGCAATGAAGAAGGAAATAAACGCTATACAGCTAGCGCGTGGGTCATTAAGGTGGTCACCGTCAATAGTTCAATAGTGTATGATGGAATAAAATGCATAACTTTACAAGACCAACATGATGGAAAATGTACAAGAAAGACAAAATAATAAACTTCCCAATGTGGAATGTTAGTCATCAGTAATAAAGACCTCGCACTTAATCACACTGTTGTGTAACGTTTAGCACTGAGATGAAAGTCTAGAAGTCTCTCAAATGTCGCCATGTCTGGTGCGTGGTAGTATATTCCATTGGGAACAGATTCCAAGAGAGTAAAAATACTTCCTACAATCTAAACGGGCGTGTTGCGCCACTAGTTTCAAGTGTTGGCCTCCATCTAGTTTTTAAACTGCTAGAGTCAACAGTGATGCACATGGGTGCTCGCTTTTAGTTAGTACCTGTTATGTGACGACGAGATCCCCGCGAAGTCGACGATATTCTAAGGCAAAAACATCAAGTAAACACAAAGTAGACGAAGGTGCAGTTCGTAACTGAGGCCGGATGGTTGACATGTTGCCTTCGTAACTTCTTTGGGTTGCTACAAGGGACGAATATCTCGTTTTAACTATTGACGCCAGGCCTGCACCGAATATTCAACATGAGTAAGAAGATATATGTTGCTCCAAGTGGTATTACGTTTGCTCAAATGTGCCGAGAGGTCGCCTCATAAGCCTAAAGTTCAACTTCATCACACTTGCTGCTTTTGAACATTAAAGCGAATTGCCAAGACTCTCTTGCACGATGATATCTAAGTCGCGTTCACTAGTCACGTGTTGCAGGACGTGTTGCCCCAATAGATATGGGTTGATGAAGCTGTTACGCACCGTCAGCATGTGGCACATTGCAGAGTTCACTGGTAGCTGGTTCCTATCTGCCCATTTGTCAATTCGCTCCAGATCATTTTGAGGCACGCACGGACGGATATAGAGCGACTCCCCCTCTATATTTTAACATCATTTGCTAATATCTGCATCGGGAATAAATGTTGTCTGGGATGTCAATTATGTAAACTAAAATCAGTAGCTGGTCGTGGACGGATCTTTGCGGTGCACCACAGGATACAGTCGATCCGTCCCGTAATCGAATAAGATCTGTTGATGGTTCCACGGCGTAGTACAGGCAACTGCTGAAAGAACGGAACCATGCATGAACTAAACTCCGAGCACAAGCATACTTCTCTGTTACACAGCTAGTACTTTAACAGAAGACAACATTCAAATGGTTGGTCAGCTGTAGCCAGAAGAAAAATCGACAAGCAGTGATATTTTAGCGATTAAACATGGTATCGCGGCATCCATATCCGGATTTGCTTGTCACTGTGGCCTACATAGGAACAGCCACAGGATGCCTGCCCATACAAAGATGACCATGGGTGGCTTGCGCTGCACCACTACACACCTCTTATCCAGTGTAAACCCGAAGGAATAAGACCGGGAGGCATGTGGATGGGAGCCACATTTCATCAACGGAGCCGGCCAACACTCCTTCAACAAGCAGAACAGAAGCATTCAGGCCTAAATGGGAAAGCATACACACCAGACGTACACATGACGGTGGTCCGACCGCAGCCCGTTCCACCCAGGATGGAACCACTCTGTAAGCTTAGCAAAGTCAAGAGGACGGTCCACTCCGTCCCCTCCAACGACGACCAACTGTCTCCTGGAGCCCGTATGTACGAGGTAGTGGGTAATAGACAGGTAGGCACCTTGTCAACATTCACATCAAGCGCATCCACACCGGGGAGCTCAAGCAACATCTACTTCTGAAATGCAAGGTTACTCATCACGCAGGCAAACGTACCACATACGCCGCCTTATTGGCATGGATCAGTAAATCGAATGGGAGCGTGCGCATCGTGCTTCTATTCCGAGTGCAATAGTACCTTCTCCTGCACCTGAGCAACCGCCCTTATAAGCAGTCTACGGAGTTCGCATCGATCAGGTTTGCCTTGGATTCGAAACACCTGAAATCAACGTGAGTTTGTCATAAACTCACATTCTTCATGTCCTGGTAATGTTGTTTTCGGTTTACTCGAGTGCTGTTTCCCTGCACTATGTTAGCCGTACAAATGCAGTATGAGTATCCTCGTTGAATGCATTCGATTAAGTATACATACATAAAAACATTTACCTAAAAGATTTAAGATGAATCTTGTACCGCATATTTTACGACCACGGGTTCCAAAAAATGATTTAGCGGAACCTATGTTACATGTAACTAAACCACTACCGCGGTTAATTAAGGAAGCTGAAGAAATATTTATCCCAAGGGTCTGTGTTTGAATGCCCCTCCGCTGCTGACATCCTGTTGCGTTGATCATCCCCATTAGACTTTTGTACGGGTGTGAAAAAAGTGGTGCCCGCACTATACATTTTCTTCCAGGTTGGGTTGGCAAAATGGCAGCTGAATTGCATGATCAGAAACTTTCGGGAACCTTATGCCCATACG